GACACTTTATTTTCCTATTATTTCTCTATGGTTATCACTTAGCAAATTCAAAATTATTCTAATCTGATATTCTGGGGTTCCTAGTTGCAAATTACAAACATTTCTGACAGTTCTAAGCAATCTTCAGCTGCAAGGATTTTAATACCACAAGCTACAAGGATTTTAACACCACTAGTCTTTCTAGTGTTCCCATCAGATCAGAGAGTAGTTGATAGAGCTTAAGGGGCTAGGTCATATAGGAAATAGAGCAATACAAAAGCTAAGAAAAGAGGACCCCTCCTCTGGCTGAAGAGAGGAGTTAACAATAGACAAAAGGACACTAAAGGCCAAGGAGATTCCATCTCGCGGGAGATTTCATCTTACATGTGTTCTCTTCTCCACACAGTTTTATGTTACATTTCACATCTAAGAGGCTGGTTAATCTACACTGTCTCCCCTTTAACTACAGGGACAAAATCAAAGGAGCTGTGAATATAAAAGGAATATTAACAACAATTTCCTTGGATCTACTTAGACCTGTTAAGGCTCAGGAAGAAAAAGGAAGAAAGGATGTTCGCTGCTCTCATTAGATGTGTTTCTGGAGGCTGTAGGAACTGCCTAATGATAGGACAAGTTTTGCATTTTTAAAAAACAAGTTAAACACTTTGAAATCTGATTTTAAGGATGTATATGACAACCAGGAAGGAAGCAGGCTGCCAAAGTGGCCTTGCTGAAAAAATGCAACAGAAGGAGGAAGTATTTAAAAAACTATTGAAATGAGTGTTTAATAACACACACAGAGCCCATAACATTAATTTTTTTAAAAATCTTTATTTATCAACTACCTAAAACATAAGATTATCACAAATATCAATCTGCATTGAAAAGCAATTTATATCAAAATAAATGACATGATTATGTACAACCATTGTCCATGGAATGATCAACCTAGTTCTCAAGACATCCTTGCCTGGGAGGCTCAGCAACAAGATGGAACCAGGACAATGTTGGATTGAATCAAGTGGGCTGCCTGGTCCTATCTACCAATAAAGCAGGGGTTCAGGGGAGTGAACTCAACTACTTATGAGGTCCCTTCTATCTCAAAGAGTCTAAAGCAAAATATGAGTTTATAATTGAGGAAGACTGGCTTGTTGGCTTTCCTTTTCTCTTCCACATCTCCTCTCTCATCTCCTCCACTTAAGCTACACTTTATATACATGCTTTCCTTAAGGCAGTGAAAATAAAGACCAAGAAAATTGACCTTCGTTGCATTCAAGTAAGTATTCAACAACAGTTAATAAAGGATAGATGAGATCCACCTATATTGACAAGGATCAACCTCAAAGACAAGGGTGTAAAAAAGGCAAGCCGCAAAACAATACAGATGTGAGGACAGCCCTAATGCAACATTTATCCACCTATTTGAATGTTGTATTAGGGCTGTCCTATCATCTGTTAGCTATTAACTATTTAAGGAGATATATAATAAAAATATAGCCCTTAAAGAAGCTCACCATTTTCAGAAAAATGTTCATCTGTGGAGAAAGGGGAGCAATGTGATCAAAGAGGAATGAAAGGATGTTTGAACCGTGTCTGAATTTTTACTAAAAAAGAACTGATGCCCCCAAAATAATTTTTGACCTTCACTGGTGCAAGAGTGAGCCTTCTCTTGAGAGGCCTCTCATTGCTCAGCCTCTTAGACAGAAGCCCTTGACAAACCTCACACCAAGACTCCCAGGATTGTTCCAACTCTGGGATTTCCATGAAGTGACATGGGAAGAAAACCTTAGCCCAATGCATACCTTTTTCTAAACACAAACCTGGTCATACCTATGCTTAGGTGATAAGTACATTGCCATGCTGCTCATTTCACCATAGGACTTAAAATTTTTCTCCCAATGGAGCAGTCTCTTCCTAGCTCAAACACAATAGTCTTGCTGGGTTATCTACAGGGTGACTAACTGTCCATTTTGCCCAGGATTGAGGGGGTTCCCAGGTTTTGTTTTGAAATGAGTTGGTCACCCTGGTTCTCTATAGCAGTGGTCCCCAAACCCCGGGCTGCAGACCAGTACCTCTCTGTGGTCTGTTAGGAACGGGTCCACACAGCAGAACATGAGCAGCAGGAGAACAAGTGAAGCATCATCTGTATTTGCAACCGCTCTATAGCACTAGCATCACCACCTCAACTCCACCTCAGATCATCAGGCATTAGATTCTCATAGGAGCACTGGTCCCTGGTGCCAAAAAGGTTGGGACTTTTCCAGAAGACATCAATTACTGCCCACAGTTTAACCAAATCCCAA